ACAAGCCCCGAGCTCACCCTCCCAGTCATTTAGGCGGAGTCAGGGCAGGCGGCGACCTTCAAAATTGTCCCTGAAATGCCGAACTGACTAGACATTTACTAGGATTCTGAATTTTTTTCTCCATCCCTGAAACCACCTTCTCTTCTACACTTGGAAGATGCCACCAAGAATCACTCCTCCTTCTCCCCTTGAAAACACCCTCCACCCACGCACTTCTCTCTCAGCTACACCAAGCTGCTCCGACCCGCTTTAACTACCAGTTTAATTCATAGAAAGTAGCTGTAACTCTTGACATCACCTCCGCAGCCCACCCGAGAACTCCAGCCCAGGACTCTTATTACGAAGTCTGTTTTTTGAGACTTAAGAGAAGGTTATCTGAGGCATCCTGGTAGATTTCCGGGCTTCCAACTCCCCCCCCCCCCCGCTTGGCTGGTAATTTTCTACTGCTCCTCCTCCTCCCTTTCTTGACCTCCTCCAAGGTACCTTCGCCTCCCCTCCCCCGCTCGTCCCCAGTGAAGCTCCAGCGAGCGGTGGAAATCAACTCCTCGGCGCTAAATTCAGAGTTGCTCGTCGGACAGGATTGCAGTGAAAAAGAGTCGCCTATTTCACAAAGAATGTCATTTGATCAACTCGACTGAGTTGTTAACTTGCTCCGAGTTTCCCAAGAGCTCGGGTGAACCCGTGTGTTTTCTGCTAGACTCAGTGCAGATGTGGTAGATTTCAGTGGAACTGCCCAGAGCATGGGAGATAAAGGCTTGTTCGCCTCTCCAGAATTCAGCTACCCCCGCGAGAATCCGATACATTTAATGAAAGCTTTGCCCAGTGGACGGTTCGGTGCGTCCTGAGTCAGATCCTAACCCATTTCACTGGTTCCAACCTGAGCTCCACTCGGAACTCGGTGTGGTTAAAAATCACCTGTTCCCAGTTTGTTTTCCCAAAGGAAAACAAAACAATAAACAGAAAAAGGAAGAAAAATGTTTCACCTCTCTCTGCCAACTGCTTTTGAGAAATTGCAGTGAATACTTCCAAAAGAACAATTTTAAAGGGAGGGGCCAAATTTCTGTCCTTGCTTGGCCGAACTGCCCCCGGCAATGAGCTCAGGAAACACGCGTTCTCCGGACTCACGTGAGGTTTGCGGCTTTGCCGCTGATGCCGGCAAGCGGGAATTCTATCTCGGCTGGGAACCCAGCAACAGATCGCACACGAACGCTGCCGCCGGGCTTCCGTCTGCCAGTAAAGAATACCAGGAGCGCTGGTGACAGAAACCACCACCTGAACTCAGAAACGCAGGCTGGGAAACTTTGGATGCAGAAGAAAATTCTTGCTAATTTACCCAGATTGTTTTAACAGGTTAATAAAGCAACTGACACTTAACAAAACCACATTCGCAGCAAGAGTCTTAGGCAATAAAATGAGAACCACAACTGAAGTTTTGTTGTTCTGAACAACTGCCTTTATTATCATTGCTTAGCATTAAAAAGAAGAAAAGGCAAGGACAATCATTTCATACTCAACAGTGCTTGGAGAAAGACCTCTTTTTCTGTGCAATTAGAGCGTAGATTTTTCTTGATTCATCCTCAATAAGCCACCACCACCAGTAACTGGAATAGAGACAATTTAATTCCAAAGACTCATAACCCGTTCCTGATGGGATATAAAGGGTTAATAGCGACTCCCTTTAAATGCATATAATTTTATCTGACCCTTGGACGTGATGAAAGATACTGATGGTCTGCATAGCCCTCTTTTTACACGTTTAGAGACTACACAGAAAAAGTAAAAACAGCGAAAAAGGCGAATGGAATACCCTCGGTTCCTATTTTCAGAGGTGGAATGCGTTCATCTCTCATTTCGGCTCCCAAATCACGTGTTTCTAGATGTTAGAAAATATAAACCCTTCTGTTATTTTTTTTAATCTGAATACCTTACTCATTGAAACTGGCAGCCCAGTTATTATTCTACTCTTTCAAACCTGATTCAGACATGGCCTAAGAAAAGTGTATCACCTCCCTGGGAATAAGATTCCAGGAAGAAGCAAATCCATACATAGGCTCAGAGAAAGCCGATCAAAGTCCTTTTCTTCCCGATTTTTCTTAGTTTGGAGGAGATAGGTTTCTCACATACTATAGATAATTTCCTGAAGAACCAACTTAAAATTCACTTGTATCTTCCAGAGTTTGTTGGGAAATAAATACATTTTAAATGTGTAATTTTATTTAAAAATTGCAATTAAGAGTTACTTAAATTTTTGAAAAGCAGTTTAAGAATATCTTTGTTCAGCAATCTGTATCTGGCATTACATTTGATGTGCAATGTTTAAATTTTAATTAAAGCAGAAAAAGAAAGCGACCGCACACAAAAATGCAGGCAAGAGAGTCCACCAGGCGGCTTTGGTACAACAATTGCCTTCTGGAAGGTGCGTGTAAGTGCACGTGCACAGATGCCACACACTCAAATGGAATTTATTAAATCACAGTGACTTTCACATTCAACAACACTGTAAGGTGTGTTAGGGTGGCCTAGGAGGTGGTGGGAATTGTGTTTAATAACTATGCATATTCATTTTCTCTCTTCAGAAGAGGAGCTCACACCAGGGGATTCACACCACTGCTGTTTTGAAAGATAATTTTTTGACCTATCAGAATATACAAAGGTCAAAATACAAGTCCATATTTGACAGAAGGTCTAATCCTCCCTTTGAACACAAGAGGTCGCTCCTGTGATCAAGTAGTGGGGGGGGTAGCTAATCACAGCTTGATATATTCTACACAAATATTTAAAATTTCTAACAAATACATTTGATGCACTAAGTCCACATACCGCAATAAGCTAAGGAAAGGGGAATAATACAGTGATCCATTTGTACTCCAAGGTGAAGTGAAACAATAATGCCTGCTATCCTAACTTTGAGTTTAATGTAAAAAATATTAGTAATAGCCACATAAAACTCCAGAGCATCCATCATGGAAGAGCGTAATTATAAGATTCTCTCAAATTTCTCCCTTTGAGGGGAGGGGAGATATCTTCTGCACCAAAACTTTGCCTCTTTCAGCTTAGGGACTTTTTTGAAAAATATTTTATAATAATGGTAGGGGTTGGAAACAGGAAAACATGTTTTCTTTACAATTATGGTAAAACTGCCCATTACTAAAGGTTTTCCCCCAAACCACATGCCAGCTTGTCCATTTGGAATTGCTAACATTGACAATAATTCTTTGAAACAGTTTATTGGACTGGGGGGGAAAAACGCCACACTGTTTCTGGATTGGAGGAAGACGGATAATAAAGGCACTTCGTGAATCTCAAGTATAATTCACCAGGCTTCTTGTAGTTTCTGGCGTTTAACTCCACGTTATAAAGGTGGTGTGATGGGATATGACTGGTTAAAATCCTACATTTACCTTCTTTCTTAAAAGTGGTATCTCTTACTATGATCAACTTAGTTATCTATACAGGAAACAAGCCCATTTAGTGGGAAGACTTCTTCGTACTGTGATTATCAGTATTAGCATTGCAAAAGCAGCTTGACAAAAGGTTCCATGCCTGTAATACTGAAGACTAAAAACTTCGACAAAACAAAACTTAAAAGCAAATGATAAATGAACCTATACAGCTTTTGATTTCACATCAGCACTCTGAAATAACAATCAAAATGGAAGGGATGAGATTCAGTTAGAAATCTCCCATGAGGGAAAAAACGAGTTCCTGGGAAGCCCCTGGTAGATAGTAAGGAAACTCACGCATCATAGCTTCTTTTTGCTCTCTAGAGAGGCATATGGTTCAAAGCAAGCCACTGAGGCCGGCGGAGGGCTCACGGCTCTTATCAAGGGTTAAATCTGGCAAAAAGATACAAAGAAAGGAGTTTCCTAACTCACAAGGCTTTCTCGCGGCAAGAAGATACCGAAGTTAAGCCTTCTGTGGCTTGGGTTTGTGAGCCTTTTTAGATAAAACCGGCAGTCACGTTAGATAAGGGATAGCTATTTAGAAACTTTGGGGGAGGTGTGGGTGTACTTCGTGGCCTTCCTGCGACTTTGCCTTTGGAAGACTGTTTAACAGATGATGGGAACATGGAAGAAAATTATTGAAAAAGATTACCAGCGAGTTGCAGCGAACAATCTTCTCTCTCCAGGTAGTTTCCGGGAGAAAATGATCGGATATCCACACCCCGTTAAATGAAATACGTATTTCATTGTTCTTCTGTTGTAGACTCCTTACCTACTCACCTCCTTAGGCTAAAGCACTTTGAAAAATCTATAACGAGAGACATGGAGACTTGTCTTTATAAATATCAGAACACCACCAACTAATTGCTTAAAAACAAAGAGCAGGAGACCAGCAGAGAGAGGAATTGTACAGGATATAATCGCTTCACAAACTTTAGACTATTGCAAGATCATTTTGCTCTTTGGCTTCAGGTTAGTGCGCTTCCTGATTCTAAACTGAAAAGCAGACCGGGCAGGTCAGAAGCAGAGAGAGGCAGTCCGCGGAGTTAATTTACCTGTGTTTCCAACCTGATTCTCCGCTAAAGCAAGAAGCGTCCCTTTTCTCCCACCCCACGTTTTTGGGGATCTGAGGTCGGGGATGCGGTCGGGGTACTGGGGTAGCAGACAGCAAACAATTCCTTTGGGTTTAATCATCCCCATTCTCGATTCTTCTTCCCTAAGCAGCTCCCTGCGCACCGCGCGCAGCCAGTTCGGGAACTCACCCTCCCCGGCAGCCAAGCAGGGCCGGGCCCCGGGCTGTGCGTCAAACTGCGGGACCAAATCGAGCCGAACGGCCTGGTACACGTCCCCCCTTTGCCTAGATCCCGGGAGGGAACTCGTCAACAGGAAGACCTACCCACCAGGCACTCGCCACCGGCGGCAGAAAAGTGAGCCCCGCGCGCACAGCGGCTAGCCGGACTGCGGGGAACCCAGGAGCGCAAGGCGGAGGAGCAGCGGGAGATGAGGCGAGGGCGCAGGCAGTGCGGCCGGGAAGGCACGGGGGGCGAGGGGGGAGAAGAAGGACGAAAGGGAAAAAAAAGGTGAGGAAGGCCAAAAACCCGAGCAGCCCAGCAGCCCGAGCATTGGGGAAGAGCGGCCTGAGCCCCGACCAAGTTGCCTCAGGAGCCCTAATCCTCTCCCTTGGGCTCGCAAACCGGTCAGTGGCGCACGGCGACGGCGAGGCTGAAATATGATAATCAGAACAGCTGCGCCGCGCGCCCCGCAGCCAATGGGCGAAGCGCTCGCCTGACGTCCCCGCGCTCTGCGTCAGACCAATGGCGATGGAGCTGAGTTGGAGCAGAGAAGTTTGAGTAAGAGATAAGGAAGAGAGGTGCCCGAGCCGCGCCGAGTCCGCCGATGCCGCAGCGCCTCTGCTCCGCCAACTCCGCCGGCTTAAATTGGACTCCCTGATCCGCGAGGGCGCGGCGCAGCCGGGCAGCGGCTCTCTCAGCCTTGGCAACCCCCGGGGCCACTATTTCCCACTTAGCCACAGCTCCAGTCTCCTTTCTGTGGGCTGTTCACCAACAGTACAACCACCATTTCACTGTGGACATTACTCCCTCTTACAGATATGGGAGACATGGGAGATCCACCAAAAAGTAAGAGGCTATTTTACCTTGTGGGGCTCGGTGTGCTGTTCTTGTGCGGGGGTCTCTCTCAGGCACGGGTGCCAAGAGCTCTTCGGAGTTGCAGTTGTTGCCTGGAGAGGGAGAAAAGGTGGCTTTTTCTTGTTGCCGCCACGCCTGCATGCTTGCTGTCGGTTCTGATCTTCGGTAAACTGATCGTACCTTGTGTTTGAATTCGCCTGTGTGCCCTCCAAAACCCTAGCCTTCTCGTGCTAAGCGGTGGTTACTTCCTAGGGAATTCTGAGTTCTCGGAGAAGGTTATTATGTTGCAAAAGTCTGCCTGCACATACAATACCGGGAGATGCAAGTTAGTATTAGACTTGCAAAAGAGAACGAGTGACAACTGTATTGATGTCTGCTCTTGGTAACAATATCCAGTCCTATGTGCTATTGAAGAGCGTGCTTCATGGAAAATACAGACATCCCTGCGTTCACTTAACGCTTGTAGTCAAAACCTTTTCTTTGAATTGACTTATCCATAATCTTTCCCAATGATTATGGCAAATGGGGGGGGGGGGAGAAGTATAAAATGAGCGGGTTTGATTGCGTGCTAGGCTTACAAATGTAGACTATTCAAATCGGCATTTTACATATATTCCACCTCCTTTTTAAAATGAGTCGAGGTTTTGATGGCACACTTCAATTACCATCCCAAAGTGCAATAAATACTCTTTTAAAAAAAGGGGGGGGGGAATCTTCACAGAGTACACCCTAGAAGAGAACGACACTAAAAGTGTGTTTATCTCCGTAGGAAGTAAACGGTTAGTCAATCATGTATTTATTTTCATTTCAGAAAAACGTCTGATTTCCCTATGTGTTGGTTGCGGCAATCAAATTCACGATCAGTATATTCTGAGGGTTTCTCCGGATTTGGAATGGCATGCGGCATGTTTGAAATGTGCGGAGTGTAATCAGTATTTGGACGAGAGCTGTACGTGCTTTGTTAGGGATGGGAAAACCTACTGTAAAAGAGATTATATCAGGTACGCCATTTATACTGCTTCCTTAATTTTGTGAGATAATCCCTGTATTTCCCATCCTATTTATTGTTTAATGTGGCTTTGTCTTTTTGCAAAGTTTGCCTTAGTGGGGTCCAACGTGCAGAAGTTACCCTGCATGTTCCATAAATTAAACTGAGCTCTTCATTTTACTTTTTAGAAAGAAAAAAAAAACCCTACAGTGGTTTTCATAAATTGTGTGGCAGTAAAGCTTGCTAAATTTTTCTTAGAATATGTGATCTTCAAATTATTTTCTCCTTCCTGTACTCCCTCTTGGCAGTTTTTTTTTTTTTTTAACGGATAATTTCAGGTTTCTGAACTTTTAAGAAAGGTCGATTTTTATTGTATACTTCAGTGTTTTTATTTTTTCATTTTATTGGTAACTTACGAATTCTTTAGAAGTATCAGTGGTTTAGATGAAGTAAAAGTTTGACCTTAGCACTTCGAAATAGCTAGTAGAGGTATTGTCTCTTACTTTTCTGGTAAGAATTCCTTCCTGGGAAATTAAAAAAAAAAGAATCCAAATATTCCCTGCAAAAAGACCAGAAATTTAATCTTTTTAAATATTAACCCTTTGGTGACATCTGACTGTCTTTTCTTTCTTATCTTATCTGAGCTGATGAATTAGACGGAGCAGATCAAATTGCCCATCATCTGTCTACGAACAATTGGTATATTTAGATAATTGAACAGCTTCCTTTCTCACATTAAAATCTGGTAACTGATAAAATGAGTGAATTGCCCAAACTGACAAGACTAAAAACCACATAGGAACTTTCTGAGTTTTTTTTTTTTTTTTTTACTTTGCATCTAAACTCCAGGCTTTGCTAATCTCAAGTTTTCTCTGACCTGTGTATATACGTCAGAAACTTCTTTCTCTGTCTTAGGAAGCCAGTGGAATTTCTTCTAAAAAATTATTAGTTTTAATAACACAGAGAAGAGATATCATGTTTGCTATTCCTTTGCTATTATTTATCATGAATGATAACAAAATACTATTTTTTAAAAAAATCTCCAGTGACTATGAACGAGTAATTGGCATCTGTAAATCGTACGATGTATGTATATGGAAACCTGTTTTTTAGTCAAGATTTAAATATGCGGTCATCATTTTCTCATGCCCCCTTAATATCCAGCCTTTTTACTTCTTATTTTAAAATCATGAAGTGGAGAGTATAACCTTTATAGACAAAATTGAGCAATGGGGGGGGGGAGTTTTTTAATTCTCGGTGGGGGGATGTAGGAAGAGTGGGAGGAAGTAGGGGAGTTGGGGTGCCTGAGGAAGAGGGGAGGGATTTTCTAAATTGTTTGGTCACAGGCAAAGTAAAGTCTTCATCCTATGAAATGGAAGATCTCACATTGAGTAGGCGGAGGGAGAAAAAACTTTTGAATCTACCTTCTAACCTCTGACAAACGAGCCAGTATCATTGTTTACTTGATTGGTGTGTGAACTCAAGATTCTGGAGGGGGAGAGCTCACTTCACACCTCCACTAGTATCTTTACTCCTGCAGAGCGCTTTGCTCAATTGCACACAGAGCTGCATGTGTCTAATTCTAGATGCACTCGTTTTAGGACACAATCCCTTTTACCTTCTCTCCACTCTCTTTCAGACTGTTTTGTTGTTTGAAATACTGTAGTTGTAAGAGCAGAACACAGAGACCTGTTTAGTTTCCCAATGCCTTTCACTTCTGGGGTGGAGGGGTCTTCCTCCCATCTCATTCTGTCTTCCATTCTGTCTGTTTGCAGCAGTGTTTCCCTTTTCTGTTACTAGGGATAGACAGAGAGGGGCCAGGGCAGTGCAGACTAGATGGAACCTCTAAGGGTTGTCCCTTGGTAAGGAAAGGTCAGCAGTGAGGTAGAACCTTAAGAAAGAGATCTTTGCATTTTTCAGGCTGGTCATGGCTCTCAAACAAACTGAAATAGAGGTAGATGCTCCAGCAACTTGAAAAAGATTAAAGAAGCCGAGGCAGATTTTTAACAACAAACATAAATAAAAGGAAAAATGGAGAGGAAACTTTCCGTTAACGTTGTTGCCTGAGGAAAACTCTAGCTGGGGAAAAACGAGAATGTGCTAGTTTTGCAGAAGGGGATCTGGAAACCCTCAGAGGTTTCATTTTCTGTTATTCTGCTTGCGAATTTGTGTGATGGCAAACCGGATGGGGTGACAGTCCTATTCCCCAAATTCTTCTTTTCCTTGGAAGAAGGACTTGCTGCAGCTTCAGAGACATTTCTAGGAGCAGAAATTGGTAGAAGGGGAGGGAAAAGTGTGGGGCCAGTAGCTGCGGAGACCCCTGGCCTCTTGCTAAGAGCTGCAAGGGCAACCCTGGGACCAGTCGCGGGAGCGGTGGCCCGGGTTTCTGATCAATTGATACATTTTCCTTGTTTGGGGCAGGGTGTTCTGAACTATGGGGTACCGCTTGAGACACAGAGGTTCATCTCAACGAAGAGGTAATAAAAGAAAGGGAGAGGAGGAAGAAGGGGAAAAAGGTAGAGGGAGAGAGAGAGAAACCCGATCATGTCCATTACCTCCCCTCCCGCCCCCCATTTCCAGCTTCTGTCTGCCAGTGCTGTGTTCAGTGTCTCAAGACGTCGCGGCCTGTCTGGGTCGCCAGCGATCTTGGGCCGAAACAGTGCACGCCTGAAGTGACCCCCTCTCCCTGTGCTTCTCTCCCCACTCCGGCCTGGCCCCCGCGCAGGTTGTACGGGATCAAATGCGCCAAGTGCAGCATCGGCTTCAGCAAGAACGACTTCGTGATGCGCGCCCGCTCCAAGGTGTACCACATCGAGTGTTTCCGCTGCGTGGCCTGCAGCCGCCAGCTCATTCCTGGGGACGAGTTCGCGCTGCGGGAGGACGGGCTCTTCTGCCGCGCGGACCACGACGTGGTGGAGAGGGCCAGCCTGGGCGCCGGTGACCCGCTCAGCCCCCTGCACCCGGCGCGGCCGCTGCAAATGGCAGGTACTCCTCGGCCCCGAGGGAAGCCTGGCACTGGGAGGCGGGCGCTCGTCTAGGCCAGCACTGCCCCTGCCTCCCCACCGGCGGCTGCAGCAGCCCTGGTAGCCACAGGGCAGACAGACTCAACGGCGGCGGCAGCGGCCAGTAGTTAAATGAAGTATTCTGTGTGCTGTTTGCCCTGTGCTTCGCTTTTTTGCAGCAGGGTTTAATGCACTTATTGTCTCCTTTGACTTCCCCCGTACACCTACACGTCTGTGTGTCTATTTATGAGTACACATGAATGCACACTTGTGCACACATGTTATGTACAAGCCCAAACAGTACTTCCAGTTCACCTTGGCCTCCAAAAAGTGGCTTATTGAAAGTGGCTTCATCTCCCTGGCAGGTATTCTCCAAGCCGCTGCCTAATTAAAGAGGTGGAGCCCTGAGCCCCTGGAACTTCCTCCTTTAACCCAATGCAGGAAGCTTAGGTGGCCTTAAGTCATTTAGCCTCCCAAATCCTTTTTTGTTGAGAACTGTTCCACACTCCAAAACATTTCTAAAATTTATTTTTATCCTTTTTGTAAGAGAACTGGGCTTGAAAAGATAGTCTTAATAACTGCAGGCTACTACAAAGAGCTGTAATTTAAGACTGTCAACAAGCTAATCTGCAGTAATTGCCCTTTAAAGGAGCCTGCCTTTTTAAGCCATTTATTCTATGTGATTTGGTGAGAATTTCATCTTCAGGCCTGTCACTGTAACTCTAAATGGACCTCTTGGTGTTGGCCTGGCGGTAGGAAATCCTGAAAAGTACAGGATTTGTACCTTACAGATCGAGGGCTCTTTTCCCAATAAAGGGAGTGAAAACGGAGCAAGCTTGGCCAGGACTGAGACCGTGGGTAAGAAGGCAGACAAATGTTCCCAAATCTGCCTTCGGGCATGAATAGATCTGCCCTGGGTGCAGTTTTAAGGTATCAGTTCTCAATAAACACTGGAAGTGAAGAAACCGCTTTCTCCCGCTCTGCTTACTGGCAGCTATAAGAACTTCGTTCTAGGGGATTTGTGACCCGCTTGCACAGGGGCAGAGCCAGAGTTGGCAACTCCTGTCTTGTACAGTCTATGTACAGCCTTCACCATGCTTGTGGGAAAGACAGAAGAGGCAGAAATAGGGGGATGGGGATGGGGGCAGACAGAACATTTCCCAGCCCTAGTTTATCTGGAGTCTAAACAGCTCAACAGACTTTCAGTTTTCCTTTGCTCTGCATTAGCCCACCTCAGGAACAGCTGCATAGATTTATTACTAAAAAAGACCAGGGACTGGAGAGATGGCCGAATTACCGAATTTCATTAGCCCCTTGACATGACTGCCCTCTCAGACTGAAGTTCAAGGCTTTCCGGCAGAATTGTCCTTCTTCCCGTTACAGACAGCCCAGCTAGTGTAGTGGCTCTGGTTGCCACCGGCATGTTGTGCCATTTTCTTTCTGGTACCCTCTGGGGCCTTCCTCCAAGAGAAAACGCTGCGTTTGGAGGCGGGGGTACTTGGTGTAACCTAGCCGGGTCTGGCATGAGGAAAAGCGGTAGAGAGGAGAGACAATGCCGAAAATGTCGCTGCCGTTGCCATTGCCGCTGCTGCTGCTTGGAAGTGGGGGACAGGCGTGCGCCCCTGCGCAGTGTTGACACGAGCAGGGGCAGGAGCTGCGTCCCAGCCTAGGTTACTCAGCATTGATTTCTGCAGATTAGAGTGCGAGATTTTTATTCTCCCTTTCGTTCCCCTTCTCCTCCTCTGCCGCCCCCTGTTTTGTCAGTTGAGGCTGCAAAGCACTTTCATTGTCTGGGCGCGGCGGGGAGCGGGCGGGTGGCCTGCCTCTGTTCACGGGGCCCCTTGCTCTGCAGCCGAGCCCATCTCCGCGAGGCAGCCGGCCCTGCGTCCCCACGTCCACAAGCAACCGGAGAAGACCACCCGCGTGCGGACTGTGCTGAATGAGAAGCAGTTGCACACCTTGCGGACCTGCTACGCCGCGAATCCCCGGCCCGACGCGCTGATGAAGGAGCAACTGGTGGAGATGACGGGCCTCAGCCCCCGCGTGATCCGGGTCTGGTTTCAAAACAAGCGGTGCAAGGACAAGAAGCGGAGCATCATGATGAAGCAGCTCCAGCAGCAGCAACCTAATGACAAAACTGTGAGTGGCCCTGGGGGCCGGGCAGAGGGCGCGGGAGGATGTAGCCCCAGCGGGAGAGGTGCGCGCCCGGCTCCCAGCTTGCCCAGCGCGCTGTTTTCGATCCTGCTCTGGAGCCAGAGCCAGACCGGCGGCCTCTCACCCCAAGCCCACCCATCCCCCTGATAGGAGGTGCTACAGGCGAGGGTCACCCGCCCGAGGCTGGGCAGGTCTCATCGCGCGGCTGGAGCGGCCGCAGCCTCCTTTTCTCTAACCCCCGTCAGCCCTCGTGGGAGAGCTCGGGCCCTTCTACCTGGCCCGCACCCCAGAACTGGAAGGACGAGTTTTCCCCACCGCATCCAGGCCTGGCCAGACTTTGCCAAAGTTCAGGTCATCAGCCCCTGATGCACAGGAGAGGAAGGAAGAGACACACCTGGGTTTCAGTCTAGGTCTGGGGTTCGGTGGGTGGATCACTCTGGGAGCACCCAGACGTGCCCCTCCACTTGGCAAGGTCTGCGGCTGCACCTCCAGGCCGTGGAGGTCCCTGAAGGTGGACCCTCTGGCTCGAACAGGGCATCTTCCCTGCAAAGTCAAGCCCAGACTTTCATAGAAGCATCAGGGTCCTCACACTATTATCCTAGGCCCACAGCAGCATCCACCCTCAGGCCTCCTGGTTAAGTGAAGTGAAAGAATTTCTTTCTTTTTTTCTTTTTCTTTTTACTGCTTCAGCCCTATTTTTAAATGTCATAAAACTAGCTGTCATTAAACTTGGCAGACTGGCCAGGACTGGGCCAGAACACTTTCTAAGTTGGTTAGTGCATAATAAGCACAGCAGTCAGACCCAAAATTTGGGGAGGAGTAGGGTCAGCTGGCAGTGTGGGGGGTGGGGTTGGGGTTGGGGGTTGCTTGGAGAAAATATTCAACAAGCTGAAACTGCCCAGGAAGCCACCAGTCTAGAGGCTAAAGGAAGGCCCAGCCTGCCTCAGCTTCTTCTGGGATGCTCTGGTGTGGGAAGGTAGAAGGGAAGAATTGGAATGAGCTGTCAATGGGAGAAAGAAGAAAGTCCTAGTAAATTTGGCTTAATAAAGCCCAAACAGACCTAATTGTCCAGCCTCCAGAAGCAGAAAAACAAAACACAGTAAAACAAAAGTGAACTCCAATTAATATCCATAGGTGCGGCAGATTAATTGAGCCAATAAAGGCCACTATGTAGATAAGATAATACCCAAGTCTATTTGCTTAGTCTGTGCACACAATAGAGGGAGGGAGTTTGCTCATTAACATGTTGGGCTTGGGGGGGGGGCCTGTTCACAGAATATCCAGGGGATGACAGGAACTCCCATGGTGGCTGCCAGTCCAGAGAGACATGATGGTGGCTTACAGGCTAACCCAGTGGAGGTGCAAAGTTACCAGCCACCTTGGAAAGTACTGAGTGACTTCGCCTTGCAGAGTGACATAGATCAGCCGGCTTTTCAGCAACTGGTAAGTAAGCGTCAGCTCCCAGACTGAAGTGGCTGAATTTCCAACAATAGGAGATTCTGGTTTCACTGCCATAAAATGAAATATTGGGGTTGTGGTGAAGAGAAGGGCACAGGAACAGATTACCCAATAAGCAAGGTACGCACAGGATTACTTGTGGTTACTAATCTGTAGTGTATGATTTCACCTGTTTTTCACCACATCCTGAAACCCATGTGAAATTCTCTACTACAGATTAGTAAGTTCATTTCACCTGTTTTTCATGCTCCTACTATACATGCCCCACAGTGTGTGACTGTATGACATTTGAACTCATACACTTATAAGTGCTCAAGTAGTCCTGTATTTTATTCAAAGATGTGGTGAAACCCATGTGAAATTTTGCACTACAGATGAGTAAGTAAACACAGCTAAGCCTGTGCATACACAGGTAAAATTGTGCACTACAGATTAGTAAGTAAACACAAGTAAGCCCGTGCGTACCTCGCTTACTAGTTAATCCGCTCCTGGAAGGAAAGCAAGTGCAAGGGAAACAAACCTGTTATGAGTCTTTTCTATAAGACTGCATAATTGGACCATACAAAGTGAATTTACTATCAATCAGGCCTGCTTTGAGGGATTAACTTCAAGGTGCCTAACTAGATAAACGTGTGGAAAGGTGGACAGTGTTGCAAAATCATGCATCTTAGACTTTTAGAGTGGGAAGGGACTTTAGAGATCACCTTGGTATTTTGGCCAGCAATTAGTAAATTTACTCTCTCCTAGAGAATGGCCTCCAGAGAATGGCATATTGAAGGACTCAAATCAAGGTGATTGTAATACATAATCAGTGTTATTATCGAAAGGCAGCAAGCTCCTGTCTGGGTGCAATTTTCCAATATATCCAGAAAGATTTCAGTTATTCAAATAGATGATAGATATTTTTGGTCACTATTATCCCTTTCTGGCAATATCTTAATCTCAAATATAGGACTGCTTGAGCACTTCTAAGTGTATGAGTTCAAATGTCATATACAGTCACATACTATGTGGCATGTATAGCAAAAGGAGCATGAGATCTACCACTCAGAGATAGTGTTTATTTAATCTGTGAAAATCTGTTCTAGTATCAATGCCTTAAGACATTTAGAGAAGAGAAAACTAAACCACGTTTTGCCTAACAAAGGCTTAAAAGTTCAAGATAAATAAAAATATTAAATACACATTCTTTGTAATATGGTATACATATACTGTACACATGAATTTTTTTTTTCTTAAAAAGTAAATAGCCCTACAGAATGCTAGTCTATAAAACATGAAGATCTGTTCTAAAAACTTGCTACTTCTTTTGGCAGTAAAGCTTTAGAGAAGAGATTGAGTTTAGCTTTTCACATTCACATTTACCAGGAGGGCATTTCCCTTCTCAGTGACAATAGTTAGGTAATTGGCCAGGGGTGAGTGGTTAAAAGGGCTTGGCCCCAGGTTTAAGTTTATAAGTGGACAGGTCTGGAGGCTAGGCAGATTTGAGAAGTTCCTTGACTTGACAATGGAAAATTGTTAAATAGGGTTAAAAAAGGAAGGCAGACCCTGGGACTAGGAAATAAAACTCTGTTTTAAAGTCAGGTCAATCTGAAGTTATTTGAGTAAAACCTGGATTATAGAAGGAAGATGAGGGGAGGGCTCAGGATTGCCACGTGTTTGCACCTTCTGAAACTTCAGTGTCAGATAAGAGCAGTGGAGAAGTTGTGGAACACAGCAGAGTAGGTTTACAGCAGCAGTGCTTTTTTGCTTACAAGAAGGAGCCAGATATTTGTAATGTGATGATGTTATAATATATGAGTCTCTTCTCGGAAGGAAGAGCTTGATTTAAAGAGAGAGAAAGAGAAAGGCCAAGAGGCAGCAGGACCAACAACAAAGAAGAAAGCCCATGCTGTGAGCCCTCTGAGGAGTTAATCACTGTTCTGTGGAGCCTCCTCTGACTTACCCATCACAGGTCTGAGGATCTAAGCTCTGTATTATGGATTTTCCAACTCAGGAAGAGAGCTTTGATGCCTAGAGACTGGGAACTTGTCTGCTCCCAGGGCAACATGTAATCGGCAGGATAATTTTATTTCAAGCATGCATGGTAGAGTTGTGATGCCATTTTACAGTGGGATCTTAAATAATTTAATGCAGCATGATGTTGGGAATTCAGTTTGAGTAAAACAGATCTCTTAGAAGATGGGAGAGAGAAGATTTCTTCTCAGGTTATTCTCACTCATAGGCTTTGTTTAAAATTCAGTTAGATATGTGGATCGATACCTATCTATACAAACGGTCTCACACACAGACACACATATGACAAGTTTATAATCCTTTCATGAACACAGTCACAGCCTCCTTTACTCATTTCTCAACCTTCCATGCAGGTCAATTTTTCAGAAGGAGGACCGGGCTCTAATTCCACTGGCAGTGAAGTGGCGTCGATGTCCTCCCAGCTCCCAGATACACCTAACAGCATGGTAGCCAGTCCTATTGAGGCATGAGGAACATTCATTTATATGTATTTTTTCCCTGTTGGAGAAAGTGGGAAATTATAATGTTGAACTCCGAAACAAAAGTATTTAACGACCCAGTCACTGAAAACTGAATCCAGAAATGAATGCTCCATGAAATGCACGAAGTCCGTTTTGATGACAAGGTGATATGGTAGCAACACTGTGAAGACAATCATGGGATTTTACTAGAATTAAAACAAACAGCAAACAAAACCCAACACCCAACATACGCTATCCAATGATCTTAGGAGTACTGAAAAAAAGACGTTTTTAAAACGTAGAGGATTTATATTCAAGGATCTCAAAAAAAAAAGCATTTTCATTTCACTGCACATCTAGAGAAAAGCAGAAATAGAGATTTTTCTAGTCCATCCTAATCTGAATGGTGCTGTTTCTATATTGGTCATTGCCTTGCCAAATAGGAGCTCCAGCAAATGAGCAGGAAGAGAGACTTGGCCTCCTTGGCTGAAAGAGTCTTTTCAAGAAGGTGGAGCTACATTGGTTTGCGATGTTTTTAGTTGACTTTAACAAGGGGTTAATTGAAATCCTGGGTCTCTTAGCATGTCCTGTAGCTGCTTTCTTTTTTACTTTTGACTCTCTCCCTCTTTTTTTTTTTTTTTTTGAGATCCATCCTCTATCAAGAAGTCTGAAGCGACTTTAAAGGTTTTTGAATTCAGATTTAAAAACCAATTTATAAAGCATTGCAACAAGGTTACCTCTATTTTGCCACAAGCGTCTCGGGATTGTGTTTGACTTGTGTCTGTCCAAGAACTTTTCCCCCAAAGATGTGTATAGTTATTGGTTAAAATGACTGTTTTCTCTCTGGAAATAAAGAGGAAAAAAAGGAAACTTTTTTTTTTGTTTGCTCTTGCATTGCAAAAATTATAAAGTAATTTATTATTTATTGTCGGAAGACTTGCCACTTTTCATGTCATTTGACATTATTTTTTGTTTGCTGAAGTAAAAAAAAAAAAGATAAAGGTTGTACCGTGGTCTTTGAATTATATGTCTAATTATATGTGTTTTGTCTTTTTTCTTAAATACTATGTGAAATCAAAGCGCCATATGTAGAATTATATCTTCAGGAGTATTTCACTAATAAACGTTTGGCCTAGATAAATAAATCAATGCAATGATCCAGGGTCCCTCTTTTATATGTTTACAAGTAAGCTGTTAAAATGTCTGAAATTAAGAATTGCATGTGAATCGGGGTAAACTGACATACAGTAGGTATGATACTTCATTGCAAGTAGATATGGTCCACCTTGCAATTTTGAGTTTCACTAGTTGGATCCAAGCTTGTTGGAAGCCGTTAGCACTAAGCTGTGATGATGTTAACTGGTTTTTTAAAAATGAGATGCTATCCTCTGTTCTTCTGCCTTTCCTTCCCTGTCTCTTTTCTTATCCTGTCCTACTCCCTTCCCCCACCCAAACAGAAGAGGGACCTGCTTAGAATGGATTTTGATTAAGTCACTCTTTCATTTTCTTAGAGTGAGTGCTTTATACCAAAGTCCCCTGTTTAGGATTGTCGAAGTGACCTGTATTTCAAGTATAAGCTCTTGCTAAGAGAGAAGCTTTCTGCCGAGCCAGCGAGGTATGACCATTATTTACCAGTGGTGGCTGTCAGCCCATTGAGAAATGCTGCTTGCTTTGCGCAGGAGGCACAGGCCTAGAGAGAGCGTTTCTCAGCAATTCGTGGGCCAGTGTGTGTTTTCTTGTCTCTTCTTCCCGCCCCCGTCTTGTTCCTCCCCCATTCCCTCCCCCATTTTCCCTTCTCCCACAACTCCAATTCCAAAAACCTTGGTAAGGGTGACTGGGTAGGTCGGAGAAACAAGGTGTGTGCTCTGTTGGGAAACCGACTTTTTTTTTTTTTTTTTTTTTTTGCGGGCTGGGGGTGGGAGGGAGGCGGGCTTGTGTGCTTTGCAGGCCCCCATCGGCGGCGGTCTCAGGTGGACATGGTCGCTGGACAGACCTTTTTTTTTCACTGGTATTTAGCAATAGTTCATGTACGAGAGCCAGAACCCAGGGATGCTCGAGATAAATTCCCTATTCCTGCCCAACATCGGGCTTCTCTGTGCCCCTCGGTTTTCGGGACATAGAGTTAGGACTTAGGGCTACACTCTGCCCCCTCTTACCTTTCCTCCACCCCCAGAATTCTTTGGAAACTGGGTTCATGTCTATGAGCGAGTGTAATGCCGTTTTAAATATCTGACAACTCTTAATAAATACGAAAGCTAACGTACCCTAATCGTGTGTCGTGTGGCGCGTACCCCTTCGGATCCTTGACAGGGAGCAGGGCGGTCTCCCGAGGCGGTGGGCTAGAGACGGGGCGAGGCCCGCGGCCCCGCAGCTCTCACGTCGATTTCACCCGCTCCAAACCTGCCACAAATCGGGAAGCGAGCCTCCATTAGGCTTTTGTTTGGCATCGTTCTACGTAACGGGTTAATTACAGGCTCTAACGTGAGGGCAGAGAAAAAACAAACTTTGCATTGAAAATGTTACAGTGCGTTAGACATGCCCGTTGATTACCTTGATTGTTGTGTCTAATTCTTGACAGAGGGGTAATAATTAGGCCGGCAGTAATAATGGATTGTAGTCGTCTGCTGAGAAAAACAAGAGTTATGTCTTATCTCACACGGATCTTCTCCGGGAGAGGGCTTTTTTTTTTCCTTTTCCCTTCCCAGTGCCTCTTCTCTAATCTCTTGCTACCGGACTTGACTCTTCGAGCTTCCTGTTCACTCTTTCTATTGGTCTGCCTTTTCAGTCTTCTTTTTCGTCACCACAGTACCTAGAAGGGCTAACTTAATAAGTATTGGTAGGGATGGTGGGTCCAACGTGAATACTGGCGTTATGCCTGCAAACATGGTTGCTGATCGTCCAGCCCAGGTGTGGAACCCATTGAACCCTTCTCCAGCCACAGCCTCTGGTAGAGTCTTTTGAGAACGTTATACCCTAGATATGGAGGGAGAAAATAAAACTTAGGGTTTGAATGCAATGGATGGACTTAAGTGAAGCATACATCTTTGTGATGCTTTTTCATCTTGACATTTAGTTTTTAAGATTAGGTGTGTCTGTGTGGGTGTTCGTGTTGATGTTTTACATATACAGATGTCAGTCTATTCTGAAGTTCACAGCTTGAATTTAAGTACAGTAATTTGGGGAGGAGTTGATGAATGATTTGGTTTTACTTGCTAGATTCAAGTTATTTGTTGCTTGATGGCTGAGAATGGATTGATGGGTCGATAGCATTCTAGTTCTTGTATTATTCATATTAAAGGTGTGTCTTCCACTTCTAGACTCCTCAACAAGTGCTCTAAAATGTGTAGCTGAAATGTTTTCTTGTTTGCAAACCATTTCTTGCCACACTCTCCTTTTCCCTGCACACCTCTGGAGACCAAGTTTTGAGCTCTGCTCTTCTGGTGAAATTCCTCCTGTTTGCTATTATCTTTGATCCTCCCTCCCCTTATTACTCTGAATTCTCCTCCTGGACATTATGACTCATTTCCTCTAGCTTCTGCAAGCTAAAATTTAATGCAACTAAAAACCTCTAGGACACTCCCCTTAAATCAGGGAATCCGTATCAGTATCCACACTCTTACAGACAGGATTTTTTTTTTTCCTATTGTTTCAGAGCAATGACATTTTCTGTGTTGGTCTACTGTCCGTTTCCTTTTCATCAAACAAACCTGGTTTTTCATAGATTAAAAAGGGTCCTAAGTTAGAATCATATCTGAAGACTCTTTTTTCCTCCATTGAAATAACATTCCTGGTTATTTGGAATTCTGTGTGAATGTGTGTCTGCACTTGCCCATAAATAACTTTTTGGAGTTCAGGATTAAATAGATGACTTTGTGATGTTCTGATGCTATTCACCCTGATCAACTTGTTAGACTCTTAACTGTTGACCTCTTTTCTGGTATATTTTAGCCTTTTGAATACCAGCCAAAAAGACAATGTGCTTTCAAGGTACCTAGACCTACTTTGTATTTCCCTAGCACCTTGGATTTTTCAGCTATAGGATCGATCTCACTGAAATATAACTCTTGTAAGTCCCATGTGGGTTTACTTAGCTTTTGTTTTTTCTTATAAAAGAAGCAAAAAGTTTAAAATCTCGGTTTAAACCAAAAGAAGAACTAAGTTTAGATGGAACCCAGCCAGTTTGGGCATTTAATCTTACCACCCCCAATGTAAGTAAACTATCTAAGCAGAAAGGATTTGATTTTCTTATTTGTAAAATGCAGTTCAGTCAGCTTTTGTACAGGAGATTTATAACCCAAATTATGTTTGAATTCTGTTCATTAAGAACTATTTACATTCTCTCTGCTAATCAACAATTAAAGATTATATCACATCAAGGCAAGGCAAGTTTTCCTTGGGGGCTGGGAAAAAAAGTGAAGGAATTGTTTTTGTGCCTTTATTTAAAATGTATTAGTTTCTAAAGTGGTCCAAAATCTTAAGTTATTTAAATACTTAAAATAATAACAATTAACTTGTATAGTGGGAGTCAGTGATTCTAACTAAAACGCAATAAGTTAATTCAGGGTGCTGGCAGCGAGCCTGTTTACTGATCTTTTCTGATTGTTGTTTTCTTGATAACAGAGCAAGCCACTGAATGGCTGTTTGAGCCCAGGCGCCACAAACATAAACTTCACAGCTTACAATGTCCCAAGTCGTGATGGAGGATCTCTCCACACCTCCCAGAGACTTCTGAAGTGTAGACAGAGATGTTGGTTCACAGGGAGCAAAGGAGGGGGAGGGGCGGGAGGGAAGGCTCCTTAGTGTTTGCTGTGAACATTGTTACTATCAGATCCTTTAATTTTTATGACGCTTAACCTGTTGGCTCTGAGAAGCCAGTTTCTGTGCCTTGGAGAAGGAAGTCTCTCCCCGGAGCTGCACCTGATACTACTTAAGTCTTACTTTTTTTTAAAAAATTTGTTTTGCAAATCTTTCTGCTTAATTACCTCTGCAAAAACTCTCAACATTTATAAAGAAAGTTCTAAAAAGAAAATTATAATAATATTTTCCCCCAAAGGGGACGCCCAGATTGGGGGAAAACGTGGGATAAGATTGCTTTTCGCCAGATGGGGAGAAAAGGCACTTCGTCCCGCCCTTTAGGGGAACCCTATGGGAGATTCTGCTTAGCCAGAGAGCTGCTCATCCTCGCCTGGTATCCTTTTTCCATTCCATCGATCAAAAGTTCGTGTTCATTTCCGGGTGTTGTTATTTGTGGATTTGACTGAGTTGGCTACTTGTTTTGCCTGTCTTCCCAAGTAGTTCTCTGTCCCCCACCCCCCACCCCTTGCGTTTCCCTTCTCCAGCGTACTCGGAGGGCGGCACAGGTCTGCAGTCGGGTGGGGAGGGGGCTGGTGAATGGGAACCTGGACACTGGTCTAACCAGCCCCGCGACTCCCGCGGGCAAGTCAGCCCTTGATCCCTTAAAGGAGGGACAGTCGTCGTGGACCGGAGAGGGAAAAAGGGTGTTGCTGGGCCGTTCTCTTTTCAGGACTTGATCAGGTTGGCAGATCTGGAGGGCTAATCCAAACAAGCCGCTTGACTTGTGAGGTCGCGAGTCTAGACAGAGCTGGTGGCTCGGCGGCTCCTTATCTTTCCCTGGGATCAGTCGAAGAGACGCTCCCCGGCCCACTGCGCTGGGCTAGCCCGAGCCCGGAGCCACCGCACAGTGCAGACAGCACAACAAACACAGCACCCGAGGCTTTACAGCTTGCTTTATTGTTTAATGGGGAATGCTGCAAAACATTCATTTGTCTTCCCGGCCTCGCGATCCGGCCACCGAGCTGGGTGGGGTGTGTGCTATCTCAGGGCTGTCCTGGTCCGCCACGCGGGAAAGAGCTCCGGGACATCCGCGCACGCACGGCGCGTGTGGGCGCTCACGGCTCCTCTCCCCAGGCCAGGACCTGCGGGAACCGACCTGTGGCCCTTTTCTTTATTCCGAGGCCTGGAGGCAGAGAAGGTGGAGGAACTGTGGGAGAAAGCTTGGGGCGAGGTGTCTGGGACTAATCCAGTATCTCCTCTTGCTGCCTGGAAATGACAGTTCTGCGCTAAAGCCACTTATGGTTTGCGGGGTCAGTGGGCTCTGACTCAAGGGAGATCAATAAAAACATTTA